CTCCAAAACCTTCACATGCCCGCACGTGGGTACTCCATGTGCCTGGGAAGCTGAATTTGAAATTTTTAAATTGCACGTGGACAAGGAACATTCTCCTGAAATTTCAGCCTTTCAGCTTTTCTAGTTGCCGAGTTAACAATTCTCCTGCCAAATCTTTCACGTGCTCGTACATAAGAACCACGCATACCTGAGGGTTGGATTTTAAACATTTAAGTTGTACTTTAACAGGGGACATTACCCCAAAATTTCAGCTTTTTAGCTTTTCTGGTTCCCGAGTTAGCAATTTTCCCACCAAAACTTTCATACGCCCTTGCTTGAGTACAGTGCATACCTGGGAGCTGAATTTGAAATCTTTAGCTAAAACAAGCACAGGGAATATCTCTACAAAATTTCAGTCCTTTACCTTGTCTGGTTTTCGAGGTCGCTTTCCCGTCAAAAAATTTGCACATTTTTTTAAAGACTCAGTACACGGCACCCAGGCATCCGCGGAGGGTGATATTAAAACGGGAGGGTCGCGTATGGTATGGGCACATACTCCCAAAATTTCAGCCTTCTAACTTTTCTAGTTCTCGAGTTGAAAGTGGGTGACGAAAAGTGCGAACACACAGACACAGAGACAGCCTCTTCCCAATATGCATTTTTGCAATTTACATATATGCAAAAACGCATAAAAACAAATAAAAAAAAATTCACCTACATGAAGTTTTGTCTATTACGTCCTCACAAAATGAGGAATTTCCCGTTTCTTTTCAACTGTAATACATTGATGGCACTGTAACGAAGACGATATTTTCTTTTGATCATCCTGAAAAATGCTTGCTGTATGCAGATTAGATGGCGATCAGTTGTCATTCCGTGCCGGTCGATCTAGCATTGCACACCCACGCAGCGAAAAACGACTGGACTCGGCAGAAGGCATTGCAGAAGCTGTTTGTGAGTTTCGTTCGTGAAGTCTGTTTGATTTTGCTTTTGCCCTAAATCTCTTCGTATCAGAAGGATTCAAATTTCTAATTATTCACTTTAGACAAAGTGCACTGTTGCAGATAAAAGGCGAAAAGATATTCAGACTCTTTCCGGAGTACGTGTTGATGAAACGGGAATTGGAAGCGGCGATGTAAGTTTGTTTCCTGTAAAAATAACGTGAGCTGTTGTACTAAGTATGATAGACATCGGCCAGTAGGAGTAAATCTGGTAAAGAATCCAAGGAGGAAATTGCACAACAGCCTATATACAAGAAACATTCGCTTTTGTTCTGCATTACAATTTGTACAAGTATCAACTTGAAATCAGCGTTTAGGTTATTTATCCTGGTCAACAAACTTCAGACTCTAATTGAAATGAATTTTATAACTTCTGAAAAAACATCCCAAGCTGGAAAATCTGCATACACTTTTT